TATGGAGCATACTGGCTGCACAATCCTGGCATCAACAGGGCAAGTATCTCCCAGCCCAAAGATGCCTGAGTGAGTGTCACAACATCTATGGGAACCTACCCCATAGCAAAGGCATAGCACAGTTTCGAACCGCGGAAGAATACATGCACTCTCTGAGGCTTGAGGTTCTCGAGAAGCTTAATTTGCATGATGCTGCTAGGTCGGATCCGGGAAGAGAGGGAGGCACTCCAGTCATCGATGTTGAAAGTCAAGCATTCACGAACTTGCCTTCCAAGAGGGCAAGCACGGTTTCGAGAACTGGCATGTTGGAAACAGCTCCACTTCGAGGAGAGATTACGGTCGACTAGGCCAACACATGACCGTCATGAGACTGTTGGGATTCCCATCAAACCAAGGAGGCATATCAGCCCTGCCGAGTGAGCAAAGGCCAACAGATATTTGTTCGTAGCTCATCAAAAAAAAAAAAGTTGTTAGGTTTAGTACCTTGATGACATGTAATAACAACTTAGGAGAGGACAGCGAGTGACCTTGCTTAGACTTAGGTACTTGAGTGCTAAAAACTCGCCAAGAAGCATTTCAGTAAGAGCTGCCACGTCCCATTAGCTCTTACCAAATAGCTTGTTGGAACCTTTCACTAGCCAAATCTTTTTTATACTGATTGACAAGAGCACCATCTAGTTGCCTACTTTAGCGCGTCAAGAGGTTTTCTGGTGACTGTCTTCTAGCTATCAGATGTAATAAGATAATTAAATAAAATTTTACTTAATACATTAAACCTTTAATAATAGTGATAATTTAAGACCTATCTTGATAGTTGTACTGTCACCAGAACAGGGGCCGCGCGGGTAGGTGTCTACCTAGGAACCCACATGCGCAGCAAGAAGGGCCGTACGGCAGAATTGGTGGGCATTGGAGAGGTAACTACTTAAGCTACGAAGCTATCAATAGCATCCGAAAGCCCAAAGCCAAGGTTTGAAGCTGATAAAGGCAATAACAAACACTTCGAGGTGCCAGACTCCACCAGGCCAACCAACCAACCAGCACCGAAACCAGAAAGTGGGCCCAAGCCGTCATTTTGTTTGGAAGCTCTCTAGGCGTCAGCATCAAAAGCAGACATCAAGGAGCACCCACCAGCATTGTTTCCCACCTAGCTCGAGGCGCCGGGATGTTATCCTCTCGGGCTCAAATCTCCTAGTTTTCTATCTACTGAAGTGTCAGAAGGCGAGGCCTCTGGTCACCTCAATTTTGCTCACACAATCATTCGTGCTGAGGAGGCGTCATGGGTGACCTGGCCGAATTTCTTTCTGAGCACGACCAAAACTTCCGAAAGTATGAATCTGTGCGATCTGGGAAACTCACAAACTCTTCGGTAGTAGAACAACACTAATTCATTCTATGCGTTTACTTACAGAGCACGATTACCAGCACTCTACAGCGACTTTCGGCCACAGAGAACACTTAATCCAGATGGGTACCGTGCAAATATCGTTGCTTGGCAAGGGGCGTTATCATGCTTATCCTTGAGGGGTCTTCTTTCAGGTCGTGGCCCAAATTCAAGTCTATTAGTTCTAAATGTTGATGAAAATCTCCCTCACTACTTGGAAAGCAAACGGTTTGGCCAACCCCTCGCCCTAGGGACTGCGATACGACAGGCCATAGCTGATCAAAAATACATTTCTGTCGAAGAATTCTTACAACCCCAGGCCGCGACCTTTACCCAAAATCTAGTATCATTATCATGGAACGCTGCAGAGTGGGCCTTCAGACAGTTCGGTATCAAGGACAAGATCAGTGGCGATGATAGCGTTCCTATCGGGCAGTATGTTATTATGAACAATGTCGAAACAGTCTTTCAGGAGTTTAAGCAACAGGTTGCTGGAAGGACTTCCCACTTCGATCGAATCTTCACTAGATTACAATTCCAGTCTTTATTCGCGTCAACACTGGTGGCTGGTCAGTGTCTCTCGGAGGACGACTTGGAGGTACTCCTCACCTTCTCGTCCAGGGATAAGGGCTTCATCGACTATAGCGGCGGCATAATACGTATTCGAAGCTCTTCAGATGAGTCGAGCATAGGCCCAGAGGACGTTGCGGTAGCGTCGATAAAAGAATTGACTGCGAATCTTCGACATCAGACTCTTGCTCTCAACATGCGAATCGACTCTCTCACCCTCGAAATAAAGAGCGCACTAGCAAAAAACAATCGGGTTGCTGCACAGGCTTCACTGAAATCCAGGAAGCTGGCTGAATCCTCACTCGCAAAGCGATATGCCACACTGAACCAACTTGAGGACATAGCTGCGAAGCTTGAGCAAGCATCAGATCAAGTTCAGCTTGTTGCCGTCATGAAATCATCTGCCAATGCTCTACACAGTCTCAATACCCGTATTGGAGGCAGTGATAGAGTGGACCAAGTGATGGAGCAAATCCGAGAGCAGATGTTAGAGGTAGATGAAGTGGCGGCGATCTTAGCAGAACCTACAGGAGAAATGATCGACGAGTCAGAAATACAGGACGAACTGGAGGCATTAGAGACCGCAACCCGAGAGACAGCGCGTTTGGCCAAAGAAAAGGAGGAGGTGGAACACGAGACTGGCAAAATCGAAGAAATACAGAACGAATTAGCAAACTTGCCGAACGTTCCAACTCAAATTCTTTCAGAAAGCGACAAATCAAAGACTCAGACGATTGAGAAACAAGTCGCTAGTCTATCTCTAGATCACAGCTAGGAAATACACAGGAATTTAGAATACGTTTCAGTTGCAGTAGTATGTTCAAAATCTGACCACTATGAGAACAATCAAGCATTTGGGGTGCAGACAGTTTTCCACGAAGAAGTTGGGGCTTTTGCCGAGAATAAACGCGATTAACCTAGGATTTACGACCGATCTGCCTCTTGGGCGGCATTTGGACATCGGCTTCTCTAGCTGTGAAATGCGTGCAAAAGCATGACAAGGTCACATTTTCGTTTTCCGCCATGGCATATTGATAAATTGTATTTTACCTATCCACCTTACCCATTATGCCACATACCCCGACTATCCCATCTACTAAGCATATATTCATTATTGACCACCAGTCTCGGTTTCTGACGAGTTTGAAATGGCTAGTCCCGACTCAAGCGCGTCCACATTGGCGGACTCCCTGGCCACCGGTGTCGATGGAGCTTGAATTGAAGTTTGCATTTGTGCTTCTTTTTTCTGCAGCCTGGATTTAAAGGTTGCGGTAGTGGAGACCTCTTGATCAATGGAACTCTGCCGCAATTCCGTGGTCAATCTATCAGATAGCTGACAAATCTTGGTTCTGTCATGCGTATCATCCATAGAGAAACAAGTACTGGAGATTTGTTCTGTTCGGTCATGCATATCTTTTGTCGGACCCTTAGCTTCTAGCCTGCTTCGCCGCGCATTTGCAATCAAATCCTTGAAAGATGAATCGTGCTTCGCAGCCCAGGCAATGCCATCGAAATTTTTGTCCTGAATTGCGACCCCACTCGAGGTTGTTTTCGCTGTAGCGGTTGTTCGATGACCCTGTGTCTTCTCCCAGATGTCTAGGTCTTGCAAAAGCTGTGATCTTTTTCTGGGTGTGGCGGAATCACAATTAGCATTCCAAATGGTAATCCACTCTTTGTGACGTCTTTCCAGGATTAATCGAGGCCCTTGGTTGGATATTCCCAGCTCGGCCAACTTTTTTCGTAGTGCCTGTTCCTTTAGCATCGAGTAATTGAGGGCAGGCAGTCGTTCCAAAGTCGTTTGGAGGCGGGGTTGCTGCGCCTGTAATACCCGTCCAGCGGGAAAAGCTTTGCTCTCTGTCGATTCAGATATTGGCCCTGGGCATGTTTCTAGGTGTTGGAAAACTTGCCAAGCCTTCATTTTCTTTTGGCATGATGGACACGGCACAAGGGTGTCAGCTGACCAAATGTTAGCAAGATCCCAGTCAACCATTCGAGGACAGCGAACCATGTTCTTGGTCATGCTCAGAATAATCATCATCCTCACTATTACTGCCTCCATCGTCATCGGAGACTGTGATAGTTTCATCACCCTTCTTTCGCGCCCGAGACGCCTGATTTGCGTCCTCACGTCGACGATTGATCAGTCGAGCAGATGTCCGTATGCGTTTGGGTTCAGGGGACAAAGCGTTCGAAGTCGGCTCATCGCCTTCGATTTTCCGTTTGCAAGAAGCCGACGTGTTCAACTTGCTATGGGCTACGACCAAAGCTGAGGGTCGTGCTTTTGAAAATGCTTCAACAGATTCTTCCATTGACCAATTACTTCGCAGTTTGAGCTCTTGCTCGGGAGCTCGGCATAAGGGACACTTGCTATCATTGGACAAGGCTCGTCGTATGCAAATAGAGCAGAAGGTATGCGAGCATGTCGTAATCATTGGCGTCTTGTAAAAATCCTTGCAAACTTGACAGCGCATGGCTGCCTCAACCGCAGCCAGGCCGGCAAGGGCTGTACCAAGCCAATCTGTCGAGTCAGAAACATCATCCACTGGCATTTGGGCAAGGTTTCGCTATGCTCGTTATAATTGGCGTCTTCTGTGCTCCTCGTTGAAATGTCAATTGCGCAATTTTAGAGCGAAAACCAAGATCGTGAAGTAATCGACTCGGCATTGATTCGCGACTCGACGCGTTGTGGGGCGAATGACGATACCTGTAACGAAGCCAGAAGGCAATCCAAACGACACCACACAACTCTTGTTAGCAGTATCTACAGAGCACTTCTAGTCAAAGGTTCCTAGAACTGCCATGATAGCATCTGCAGACAGGATCGCGGTGAGCAAAAATCGAACTTACCCGCGCTTTGTAAGTTACCTACCGAGGTACGTAAGTTTGATTTTTTGAATCCGAGATCAGGCTTCTAAGTGGATTCACGTGACTTCGCGTCGTCTCTAGGCTCCTGGCGCGAAAGCCTGAGTCGCGTTTTCTGTCCCCTACTACAAGTCCTCCATCGCTCTGTACAGTAATTCGAGAAGTGAAGTCAAGAAATTTTTCAATGGATGAGCACAGGAAGTTTCTGGCAGATAAGCTACTTAGCGAGGGTCGACCGGTAAGCTCCATAGCATGGCACCCATAACCATCAACTGATCCATATCCAATTTGCAGATATCTTATCGGGCCCTAAGCTCATCGCTGGATGTCCATGTCAACAGAGCTAAAGGGTATTTCTGTCATCTGTCCCATTACTCGGCAATTTTGCCTCAATTTTCTCCTCTGAGCTTCTCCTTATAATATTTTTCTCTAACAAGTTTATGCAGCATGCTCTTCGACTTCCACCGGTATCAGAATGAACTGCTCCCAGACTCGATCTACGCCACATACCTGGTTTCTGGGTTTGTTGCCGCCACAAATAAGATACCAGATGCTGCTCAAATAACCAGCTCGTCTGACCTGCCGGAAAGCTTAACACAAGTAGCGAGCAACAGGAAGCTGACGCTTGTTGGGGAAGAAAATCTGCGAGGTTTGCCCCATCCTCAGGCCGCCCATTATCTCGGGAAGAACCCATTTCTGATAACTGGTAAGATGTACTAGGAATTCATACAAGCGTAACATCAATCCATGTGTATGGTTTGTCACCAAATACGATGAAGGATTTTTGGCTCTACGAAGATGCGGTAAACACAAATGATATCATGATAGTTGACCGCAAGCAAGCTGGACTACACGACAAGCATGGGGCAGTCCGCAATCCGCATATGCGTTTGCGAGATCGGAAATCACAGCCGAACTCATCCCCTTCTGGTCATGTGCAATCCGTAAAGCAAGAAAGTGAACCGACCAGCCATAACAGGCAAACAACAAGAGAGCCACCGCGGCAGGGAAAACAACAACCTGTTCCAAAGAAGAAGGAGTTGGCCAGCACTTCAAATCGACCGGCCCCAAAGACAATTTTACAATCGTTTGCAAAGACACCCATCAATGCTCCTCAAAAATCTACGAAGCAGATTAAGCGAACTGACGAACCCACCGCCGCACTTTCCGATGATGGAGAGCCTGATGACACCGACATCCTACCTTCCAAATCCAGCTCAGCGTTGCATTCCAAGGCAAACTCACGCAAGGATAGAGAAGACGCCTTAAGGCGCATGATGGAAGAGGAGGAGGAGGAGGAGGAGGAGGAGCATGATGATGATGATGATGGTGAGGGAAACAAGCGTGAAGTGATTGGGTTCGCGCCGAACATTGAAGCGGGTGAAAACCCGGAGTCCGAGTCCTTACCAGATGCAGAGCCCGAATCAGGGATATCCTTGACAGCACAGGCCGATAAGGAGCCTTCAGAGACAATTTCCAGTTCGGGGGACGGCCGGAGAAGAGGCAAGCGCCGAGTGCTGAAGAAGAAACGAATATTGGATGATCAAGGATACATGGGTACGTGCGGCGCAGTCCAGCTTCAACTACCAGCGCAACTTTATCAGCTTACAATGTGAATAGTCACGATTCAAGAACCGGGGTGGGAGTCCTTTTCTGAGGATGAGTTCACTCCGCCAGTGAAAAGGCCCACGCCGCCGCCAATGCAGCCATCATCGTCCGCGAAGGCAAAGAAAACATCAACAAAAGGCTCCCAAGGCAGTATCATGTCATTTTTTGCAAAGAAATAGTTGTACATGGCATGCGAGGGAATAGATTAAATGCTTTGATGAGGTGAATAGTGGAAAAAGTAGTCTTTGTTAGTAGCAATGTACGAAATTCGATGGTTCTTCAGTCTTCGACTTCCAGTTCTCGTACTGCGTTGGATTTTCCAACATTCGCTTGAGTAAAGAGCCTAATCGCCGAATACCCTCAATTATGGCATCCTCTGCCTCCCATGCAAAGCAAATTCGAATGTCACCTTTGAACGGAGCACTGCCTTCGTCCCCGTGAACCTCAAACATGCATCCATAACCTATCGCGAGATTCTCTTCTTCCATCGCGACGTCGGCGACTAGTTGGGAGCTCAGTGACAGTTCTTCTTTCGGAGACAGCCAGATAAAGTATCCGCCATAAATTCGAGCTCCGGTAAGACTCGTTTTCCGGGCACAGTAGCCCAGAGGCGTAACGTATTGATGAATTGCGATCATTGCGAGCTTATGTCTCCTCTGCAGAGATGGACAAACCGTGCGAGCTATGTGCTTCTGTAGTTCGCCAGTTCGGAGAGCTTCACCGAGTATCGCGGCGCACAGCTGACTCGGTGCTCCGCCTGACACTGTGGAAGCAGTGTTGCCTAGCCCAATGACGAACTTTGGGGAGGCTTCAACCCAACCTGTGCGGACTCCCGGCCCAGCAATTTTACTAAAGGACCCGTTGCTGACGGTGTAACCAAATTTGTCTGGGTCCTGCTCCGAAAATCCCAATGATCGTTCAATATCGCATAGCCTAGGCAGTCTCAAGTCACTCCTATTACCCTGTTCTTCTTCGGGGTCAACAGACCACTGTAAGAAGTCGTACACGTCATCACAGACCACGAGAGCATTGTGATCCCGTGCCAGCTGTACCAACTCTTCACGTCGTCGAAGAGACATGGTTTTCCCAGAAGGGTTTGCGCAAGTTGGTACAATGTACACGACATGCCTATACAGCTTTCTGGTCATGTCATGAGGCTTGACCGGCTGTGAGATTGTTAGATCGAGTGAGTACCTGTTGACCACTGGTGTTTTCGGGCCAACACTCACCTTTGGCTGCGGTTTTGCTTGTTCGTCTTGTTCTAGCTCCCTGATTTTGTTTTGCAGGAACAACAAGTTGATGCCCTCGTTATCTTCCGGTACTGCACGCAATTTTCCAGCAAATCCCGAATCTTGGAAAATTCCACACGCCAGGTAATAACAAGGAGCAATTATCCAAATGGCTTTGGTATAGTTTGGGTCAGTGAAGCTCTGGAGAATGCAAGCCAAGCTCTGGCTTGCTCCGCCTGTGACACAAATTCGATTTGGATCTGGGCTGACATTATAATGCTCGCCAAGCCATCTGGATAACTCGTTCTTCAATGTTGGGTGACCTGTACTTGGACCATATTGGAGAATAGGGATATACTCCTCACGGCGGAGGAGAACTTGCTGGCAGGCACTTGAAAGCATAGCAGCTGGCAAAACATCTGGTGACGGCCAACCACGCATGAGATTGATGTGGTTTCTCCTACTCAACAAACTCGATTCCATGCTGGTGAACAACACTCTCGTGGGGTGTCTACCTAGGGAGTTGATTAAACGCGGCCGGGAAAGCTTTCTCAGCCCCTCCTTCTCTTACCCTATGTTAGGTACGTACGTAGGCGGCTTCAGGCGCAGTTCCTGTTACCGGTCAAAGCAATAGTCGGAAAAGAAGACTCGTGAGGCCTCAAGAAACCAAGCGCGGGCTTTTATTGGCCTGGTAAGCTGCCTCATGTGAGAGGGCGTCCGAAGTGGGTTAAGTCTACATGGAGTAGTCGTGTGCCACGCAGGAACCTGATCCGAATATAATGGACCAGACTCATTTCCAGCTTCATCACGGCTCGAGCAGCCGGCACCGTGGAAAGCCGCAAGGCGAAAGAAGAAAAAAAGGATATTTCACCCTCGATGGACCCATACACCCGAAAGCAGTACGTATTCACCAAAGCAGCCGGCAGAACATTGATTCGGCACATCGTCGCATCACTACATATTGGAGAAGGCAAGTACCTACAAGAATAGCAGCAAAAGTGAAGTGGGGCCGGTCCACTTCTTTCCCTTTCCTCTACCATTATTAACATTGGGCATTAGATACAACATACCACCTGAGGGCGTGCATCAGCAAATAAATCGACATCATCTTCAGTCCGAACAAACAGAGAAGAACCTCATGGTTCATATGGCGACGACCCGGGACCAAATATCAGGTGTGGTTTTCGCTTTGCAATATCAAGGATGGTGTTCGCAAAAACACCATTTGCCCAGGCAAACCAACTGCGTGTGTATTGTCGGACGTGATTTACATTTACGCTTTCATGCACCAGGCCAAGTTTGGAGGACCGAAGGACTAGATTAAGGCACGCCTCGATCTCGTCATCATCTCCCGTGGTCTGTGCTTGAACCAGTAGACTCATCGGCCATGCATTTCGCAGCCCAATATGCGGCCCTTGTCAAGTCAATCAGCTCGTTCTGTTAAAAAAGCAAAATTTTCATTTAATTACTTACCGCCGATGCCCTCGAAATCCTTGCCTTTCAGGTAGTAGGGATTGCCCCGTTTTTCCAATATCATTTTTCTTGTATTTTTGTAAATTGGATCTTCAATTCCACAAAACCCCATGAGGGGCAAGGCTAGCAGAGATGGATAATTTGCATCGTCCATCATGATCGCGGAACCATAGCCGTCAACTTCGTACGCAAAAACTTGTCCGTACTTTGTGTGGGTGACCACGCCGTGCTCCCAGACAGCGGAGCGTAAAGAATCACCCCACTTCTCCAGCTTTTCTGCCAAAGATGCTTTATTTGAAGCCTTGAGGAACTTAGAGGTCCGGCGCAGCTCGACAGACATCATCGCGTTGGCAGGGATAAAGAAGCCTAAGATCGTGGCGTCATCACTAGGTCTGAATGCGGAGCGAATGAGACCTGTGCCGCTGTTGAGGGGGTTACCGTTTCCTTGCAAATTGAGTGTCTCTGTGCCAGTGCTTGTCCGTCTCTGAAAAGTGTACTCATTTCTCAAATAGTCTCCCGTTTCCGGGTCGAACGTCGGCTTTGACTGTGCTTCTAGGACTTGTAGGAGTGTTTCGACTGCGAGATACCATCGGTTGTTCAAGAAATCTGTCGAGCCTGTGTGTTCATAGAAGTCGTTCGCCAGCGCCAGAAAATGGGCTAGCGAATCAAGTTCGTACTTGCACTCAAATACAGCGCTGGGTTCATATGCTGGATGGACAACGTCGTCCTGACCATTGGACGTTATCGGAAGATCACTAATGGGAGGAGGCTGGAAAGCATTGCAGTATGGAGCCTCAATGACGTACTCCGCCTGTGTGTTGATGGCGCCCAAGATCAAGTCAAAAATGGCGGGATCTTTCTTTGCCAGCGTTTGATATGGACGCAGCTGGTTTGTTGAGTCGCGCAGCCATTCGGCAAGTATATCCCCCGTTATTATGAAGGAGTGATGCCCTTGCCAGGCACCGTCATCCAAGACAGTTCGCGATCCGCCGAATCGAACGAAGCCGGTATCTCTGCCTTTGGTATGGAATTTAATAGTCGTATCGGTTGTTGACGGGAAAGCGTTCTCGAATAATCGTGCCAGGTCTGGGTCCTTCATTCGTGTCGTGATGTCTGTTATAACTTTCTCGATTTCATCGGAGTGGAATGTCCGACATCGTCGCTCGGGTCTTTGAAACGGAAGTGCGAGAGGCCCAGTGCTCAGAGGCTTGCTAAGTTCATTAGCAACTCCCGTCAGGACACATTGGTAAACGCTGAGAGTACTTACTGCGGATAAGACGCATATGACGCATAGTCGGGGCAAGCATCAGCGGCATTGTGGATTGGAAGCTGAGGCTCTTTGTTGGCTATTGCTAGGCGGATGTTCACACAGAGCAGCGCGCAGACCGGGCCTGTGACGCGCATGGTGAGAGAATGGTGGAACTGTCAACGACACGCAACAGAGATAGATGTTGGGATACGGAGTACAATCCACAGAGAAGTGCGGAGTATCTGATGCTAATGATGCAAAGGTCCTGAAGTCAGGTTCAAAGACGCTGAACTGTGGGTGTTCAACATGGCACCCTCTGTTGTTTCAAAATGATGTCTGCTGAGACGGGCGTGATGTAGTCCAATCTAAGGTCAGTTGTCATGTCTTGGTGTATTTTCAGTTACAGTGGGGCCGCAGCGGCGGATTCTTTGTGGAGGCGGCGCTCCTCGATGGGGTACGGAGGCTGGGACAGGATTCACAGGAATGATACCTGCGTACTCCGTACAATAGAGCAAGGTATTTGGAAAAGTTCCACGAAGTGGTGGTCAGTAATATTGGGGGCTAATTCAGCTGCGTGTCTGAAAAAATGTCCATCTCGGCCTGAAAATATCGCATTAATGTCGATGGGATGTGGTTGATATGCGGAGAAGACGTTTTTAAAGGTCATTCATTATCAAGAAGAATCGATATATTCGGGTATCTTCAAACACTCTATCTATGCCATTGAAAACAAAATAATCTTCGTAGATTTCACAAAACCAGATGCAACACCAAAACCCAGCTGGTATCCCAACCTACTTGGTTACTCCAGTAGGCACCCAGATTTGCAGCTGCGTACCCCGTACTCCGGACATAAGCGAAATATGCTAGAAAATTCATGTAGTGAGTTATTCCCTTCACCAGCCCCACGTTCGGCTGGATGCAGTGAACACTGGCGGCTTCCATTGTATGCGCCCCGGATCAAGCACCCGTCTCAGTTTCAGCTTTTGTTTTTCCCTCTGCTTAATGAGATTCTCTGGGATGACAATCTTATGGTCGCTTTTGTGGTATACTTGCATTTTCATGGCTTGAAGGGTGTGTTCAACATCCTGCGTGGTCATAGCGAGAGCAGAAGATATTGCTTCAATGGTGACTTTGTCGTCCCGCTCATTGTACCCCATGAGCAGATCAAGGATGTTCTCTGACCAGTACTGACGATAGCTCAGAAGACCTAAATCAGAGAGCGGTTTCTCTGGTGACCCTAGCTTGCCTTCTATTTTGGAAAGCTCGTATGAAAACTGTATCAGAAGTCGTCCATACCCTTTTCGCTGATATTGAGGCAAGGTCAGAATGCAGGCAACATTGTATCCATCTGCACTCTCTTTTTCCTTGGAGAAATATCCAACAATATGACAGCCCTTATCCGTTCGGCTAGCCATCACGTAGAAAAGAAACGGATCCACATCGTAGTAAAGTGTTTTATGGTCAAGAAACATCTTAGATAGGAGGCAGAGATTTCTGCACCAAGTTCGCTGCCGGCGTCCATCAATCTCAAAAAATGAGACGTAGTCATCTCGGTATATCTCATTCCCTGGAGGATGCTGCAATGTGCACTTTTTCCTGTGTCGCAGAAACGCTGTTTCATCCCCATAGTAGCTCAGGCAAAATTCGCATATGAAGATAACGTCTTCTTGACTGAAAACCTCGGGATAAGGGGAGAAATACCAAGGGAACAGGTCATTTTTGCCGAATTGAACCTTCGATATATTTCTTATACGTGAGATCTCAGCAGGGTTTTGGGTCATAGATCCGGAGGTCCTTAGTTTTTCAATTTCTTCTTCCCGACTGAATTCACCTTCTTCCTTCTTAACATCGTCGTCTTTGTCATCCGCTTCTGTGTCGTCCGCTGCGGCCGGTGTTGCAGTTACGTCGGCGCTTGCTTGCGTTTGCGAATCAACATCGGGACCAACGGATGATGTCTGTCGTTGCTGTTGAGACTCTGCAAATTCTAATGGCTGCATGAGCTGGGCGCCTCTTTGAACCATTAAGGCATATAACACGTACCTGACCATGGATGAGGCGTCGCAGCCTCTGATTGAATCGACTGCTCTCTTTTACTGAGCCGCTTCTGCCCCTTCTTCGGAACTTGAGCTTTCTTGGTCTGTGATGACGTCCTTTTGGCTTTGGGATCTTTTGACTTGTCCTTGTCAGGATTTGGCCATTCCACTTCTTGTGTGAAGTCGATTCTTGTGACTGGAACCCATTCATCAAGTCGCTTATTGAAATTATCGAAGTTGCAATAGAATTGCTTGCCGCTCTTAGTCTCCTTGATGCTGAGAATCTCCGCGCGTCGTGGTTGGCCGTCCTTGACCACCCAGGCTATACAACCCGTTTTCAGTGTATCAGGCGTCGCTATTCCCTTTTGTCTTGGTGTGTCTGATCCGACAGTGGGTTCTCCCGCTGGTGTTCCCACAGCCATAATGAAGCATGTGGACGACCGTGGATGATTAATGATTTTACAAACCTTACACTCTTTTCGCCAATGCAGGAAAATAGTTATTGGCAGTTGATGCGGCAGTAAAGGTCCCCATGGCATAATTAAGCAGGCGGTGTGTTCAGAAAATCTTAACTTGGTACTCCATATAACTAACTAACCTCTTTAGATGCATACCTAGGTGATTGCATACCTGTCCAGGGTACCTAGGGTATGAACCACGACCCGCGACCACATAACTAATCTCCTGTACGTGTTCTTCCAGTATCTCAGCGCTTGGTACTGAGTATGTTCTTGGATCATGGCTGAGTTGTCTTCCAACTGGAAGAAGCTTCAGGCAAAGCTCAACCCTGGCAAGCAAACACGTCGCCCATCTTTGAAGCGTAAGGCAGAGGATGAAACGTCGAGCACATCCAAGATACCCAAGTTTTCAGCAAAGGTTTCTCGAAAGACCACGCAGTCTTTAAACACCAAGGTTAAGCGGATTCCGAAAATGGGTGCGGTGCATAGTTCCAGAGTGAGAGATGAATCCAACATTGGCCAGTCACCATCAATCGGGCTTTGGGCAACAGACCGGGACGTTTCGAGTGAGGCTCTAGCAGAGGCATATGGCCTCGGTATCAAGGAGAGTTCAGTGACCATGGCTTCTCATAGTGATAAAGTCAATCATGGTCGATCATGCAATGTCGATGTTGGAAAATATGTTGGACTGGATTGCGAAATGGTTGGAGTTGGCCAAGGAGGACATGAGTCAGCTCTGGCTCGAATCAGCTTGGTTGACTTCCATGGACGACAAATTTACGATTCTTATGTGAAACCAAAGGAACGGGTCACTGATTGGAGGACGGCTGTGAGTGGCGTATCCCAAAGAGAAATGAGGTTTGCGAGAGAGTTCGAAGAAGTTCAACGAGAAGTATACAATATCATCGAAGGACGTATCTTGGTTGGACACGACATAAACCATGATCTAGATGCGTTGAAACTGAGCCATCCTCCGAGGGATATTCGGGATACCGCCAAACATCACGCATTCAAGAAATACGGACATGGGCGAAAACCTTCTCTACGAGTTCTGGCTCGAGAACTTCTAGCTATTGAAATACAAGAAGGTCCACATTCTAGCACCGAGGATGCACGTGTCACTATGCTCATTTTCCGAAAATACAAGTCGAGTTTTGACACCGATCACGCAAATCGCTATCAACATAGGACTCCTCCAGTCACTGCAAGGAAATCCAAGAAACATAGAAGGAAACATTAATCTTTCTCTAAACTACCACTACAGTGGAGCATTACCTGCGGTGTGGAATTTTCATTACTTGGGAGACAACGATTGTCAATATAATCCTGTCGGAAAGAGTAGCATGCTCAATATGGAATTTGCATCACAAGGACCACGGGAATGTACGGAGGGACTTCTTGCTCCCTTGCAAATCAATTGCAATCTGGACACACCGCGTCTGTCTGGTATCTATAGCGGGATCCCTTCCAGTAACTCTATAGCACCTTCTCGCCCGACAGTAATGATTACATCTCCTAGGGTTTTTGTTGCAAACCCAGCTTCGCAGTATTTGAAGTAATACTGTGCACGATCACGTTAGTGGAATTGACCAGACGAGACACGACGAAACACGAATCGGGGTATCTTGCCTCCCATTTTCTTCGAAAGACCTCAACGGCCTCTTTCGTCATTCCTGGGTGATTATGCAAAAGTGCGGGCTTGATTTGACTGTCAAAATGGCACTGGAAGTTTTCGTTCCACAAGCGTAAAGTCCTGGCGTAATGCCCACCGATGTTTTCCACCTTTTCGATTATGAGCGTGCCGTGGGACTGCTCGCTGATATGGCCCAAAAGTTGTGTGGTTGAGGGCAGGTATCCTCCTGGGAAAATGTATTTGTTGATAAAACTGTGCCGTAATGTTACCTCATGTGAACATGCATAATGGCATACGAGCATTAAAAAACGTACTCTACTGATTTGGAGTATGCCTCATGACGGTTCTCAGGCATCGTTATACACTGGAACATCGCGATGCCTCCATCTGGCTTGAGGAGCCTATTCACACAATCAAAGTAAGTGCCCAGGTACTCCTGGCCAACTGCTTCGAGCATTTCGATAGACACAATCTTGTCGTATGGCTTTTCAGGGACCGGGAGTTGGCGGTAGTCTGTCAACAGGACCTCGATACGTTCATGGAGTCCAGCAGCCCGCACTCGTGCTTCTGCCAACTCTTTTTGCTCTTTAGAAAGTGTTATGGACGTTACTCTGCAGCCAGTTTTGCTGACAGCTTCAATGGCAAAGGAGCCCCAGCCAGTGCCTATCTCAAGGACATGATCTGTCGCTTTGAGCTTTGCGCCATCGATAAAGCGAGTTAGTTTTCTCTGCTGGGCGGCTTCTAGACTCTCATCACCTAGGCCGGAATCGATCCGAGTTTGCCACACTGGGCAAGAATATGTCATGTCGCTTGAGAGGAAGGCAGCAAACATGTCGTTACTAATGTCATAGTGTGCCGAAATGTTCAGTAGCGAATTGGAGAGAGTATTGGTGGATCTAGCAAGATATGACAGTGATGATGAGATCCTAGACACGACCGTGGTTCCGTTGCGCATGCGGTCTCTGTTGATGATGAAGAGCTGCATTGACGCACACTGGTCATTGCCATGTTCATATACCAGACCAACG